CTTGAGTTTTGGCCCAAAGGGTAACATGCATGCTTGCTTGGTTTTTGCTTTATTTCAGAACTTTTTGGGTGTTTTTAGGTCATGTGGGATCTCTGTTTTTGGCTGGATCTATGGCCCTTTGCATGCTTAGTATACTTGCTTCATACTCCCCCATTTGGCCTAGAATTGTGTCTTGTGTTTGGGCCTTAATTCTTCTTGATGTGTTGGCTTGGTTCCATGAAGATGTTAGCATTGTTTTCCCATGCTTAAAGTCTGTTGGCTATTAATTTTGGTCATGTTTGACATGTTTGTTAGGGTTGCTTTGCATTTTGGCTTAAAAGCTTTGAGCATGTTGACCTCTAGCATGCATGGTTGTGATCATCCTCATGATTTGGCATCATTTAGGACCACATTTCAGTCCAAGAATCATGTTTGTATGTGTGCATGTATGATCTCTTTTATGCCTTGAGGGTGTGCCCTCTTATGCCTAGAAATGAGTCTTGGTGGTAGCATTTCATGGGAGGTATTTTGCTGCCATACTAGGAGGTTTTGGAGTCCCATTTTGCATGTAAAAATTCTGTCTTTACTTGTCTTAGTCATGCCATAACTTGGTCTTGTTGTTGGAAGTGAAGTGACCCTTTTGGTGCCTTAGCCTTGGGTCTATTGGCTTGCATGTTGACATGAGATGTAGCCCACCATTTTGAGCACTTTTTGGTGCTGTTTTGAGGTAAATTAAGGCCTGCATCTTTATCACTTTAAGGCCCTCTTGCATGCTTGCTTCATGTTTGTTGCATGGTTGCTCCATTAAGCCTGTAGTATACTAATCCCATTGTCAAATTGGTCCATGTTTGTATCACACTTGCATCTTGCATGCTAGCATGACATACTTGTCATATTGTTGCATGACATTTGGCATGTCTTGCATAATTAGCATCATGTTGCATTTGAGCCTTGTGAGCATAACATGCATTGCATCATTTGGCTTGGGGTGTCAAGCCAAATATGAGGGTCAAGGGACATTCATACTTCAAGTGATGTAATGTACCTTGATTCTCGGTCACCGGGCCTTTGACTTCGACATGATGAGGCTTCGGATCTCATTTTGTTTGTTGCATGCATCTTTATATTAAGTGGCAAACTTGATCCTTTGGGTTATCATGCACCCATTGATGGCTCGAGGATCGAGGGTCATGCTTCTTTGAGTTCAAAACATGATAGGAAGCATAACCATGCTCACATGTACCTGAAAACCCCATGCCATGCACTGTCTGTTCTCTGTTTGCTGTCAAATTGTCTTCTGCAGGAAGTTTCTGCCGACCGGCAGATTTAGTGCCGACCGGCAATCCTCGGAGTGCCGATGAATCCAATAAATGCCGGTGGAAATTGTAGAGTGCCGGTGGGAATTCTGTCCGGCCGGTGGTGCTCTACAGAGTGTAAGGAACCTGTTCCTGGACTTTGGAAATTTTTCAGAGAGACAAGGCAGTACAAACAGAGGCGGCAGGGGTACGGTACGGGTTTTTCGGGCGAGCCAAGTTCCGAGCATGCATCATCTGCGCACCCCGAGGCAGAGGCTGTGGCCACCCTCCTTTTTTTTTTTTATTTCGCATCCTTTCTTTTAATTAATTAGAAAATTCTGTAATAATTTTATTTGTTATTATTTGGGACTGTAATATTATTTGGGCCCTCCGAGTGAGGGCAAATCTGTAATAAGTGTGTGTGGGTGGTGTGTATGTCTTTCCAACCCCACGTCTTTCTTCCTTTTATTTATCCGCTTATGATGGTTAGATTAGGGCATATTTCAATTAGCATACAGTATGATGCATGTTTGCATCATTCATCTGTTTTTGCATGCACCAGGCTCGGCGCACCATACTAACTGCATTGTACTTTCAATTCCAAAGTGAATACATGTTAGTTGTAGCATTTCATATGCCATGTTTAGAATAGCCGAGCCTGCTATAGTTTGCATTTTTGCATGTGTTGCATTAGGCAATTTAACATGAACTAGGACACGCACATTTTGCTAACTAGTTTACTGTTTGGCACGGAGTACTAGGTAAGCTTTTATCTTAGCATATCGCATGCGTGTGAATGTTGCCATGATAGCATGATTACCATGAGGCTAGTTGCTTATGTGATATAACTGCTTGAATGCCTGTGGATGGAGGTTGAATTACCTAAATTGGAATAACGCATTAAAACTGTGAGTTTTAAGCCCACTAGAGTGGCAAAAATCATCCTTTCTAAAAGCCCACTTGAGGGTGGCAAAATCCGCATTTTAGCCTACTTGCGAGTAGCAAACCTTTTTTTCAAAACAAACATGAAATGTTTTGTACCAATTTGGGCGATTTGGTCTATACTTGTTCGCTGCGCGCACAACATAGTAATTCTAGGCTAATAACCGGTTTAAGAATACATAAACGTTTTCAAAATTGGATATCACGGTTAGTAGAGACCGGTCTTCAGACCGGCGAGAGGGGGTGCTCATAGCTGACCTTCCCCGATCGTACCCAAGCTCCCGAGCCGAGACAACTCCGGTGATGACGGACATGTGGCCTTCGGCACCGAGTCAGGGTTTCCTAAATTTCCCCATTTTAAAAATATTTAGGTGGCGACTCTGTATCTGGCAAAGCAGTCCATGTTTGGCACTACTTTTTCAAAAATCTGTTTCTCATCAAAACGATTTGCCAGATTTGGACTCTTTGGTTCAGATTTAGAACCGTGACAAAATCGAGTCCGAACTGTAGCGGCGAGGTCCCCTCCGCGGGCTTGTTACACGGTACTAGAAGGGTTATAGTGACGCAAATTGGATATCTGATATAAAAGATTTCAAATCCACTAGTGGTTATGTGTTTACCCTCGGAGGGGCAGCTGTGTCTTGGAAATCTACCAAGCAAACGTGTATCTCGAGATCAACGATGGAATCTGAGTTTATTGCTTTAGATAAAGCAACTGAAGAAGCTAAATGGCTTCGCCAGTTTGTTGAGGATATACTACATTGGCCGAAACTTGTGCCAGCTATCAGTATTCATTGCGATAGCCAATCAGCGATTGGTCGGGCACAAAGTAATATGTATAATGGAAAGTCTAGACATATCCGTCGTAGACATAATTCCATACGACAACTACTCTCAAATGGAGTTGTCTCTCTAGACTATGTCAAGTCTAAGGACAACATTGCGGATCCGCTAACCAAAGGGTTAACTCGAGAGTTAGTAGAAAAGTCGTCAAGAGGAATGGGGTTAAGGCCTTTAGTAAAGGTTACCGGAACGGAAAACCCAACCTAGTTGACTGGAGATCCCAAGATCTAGGTTCAAAGGGACAATCTAACTTCGTGTAACGAGTAAGTCACTGAAGAGGTAAATCCTCTTGCCCATTCCTTTATACAGTGATGCCCGTGATGGTGGAAGGTTAAGCTAATGCTTTTAATGACCTTAGTGATGTGGTATAATGAAATACCGTATCTAGGTCACCTATGTGAGTGCGAAGTGGAGCCGTTCTTTAAGAATTGCCAAGGCCGAATTCTTTAAAAACACTCACAGAACCAGGCTAGTGTTCCAGGGCCATAACGGACACACCAGTGAGAACAAGAAACAATGGTTGGACTAACTCCTGTGTGAGGTCTATTGTCTAATAGGTTGCCCAGTTCTAAACTTCAAAATCAAACTCCTTATGAGGTCCTGTTTCATTATTCCCTGATTTTGCTTTTCTTAAAAGCTTTGGTTGTAGGTGTTTTCCCTGGCTTCAACCCTATGCTTCTCATAAGCTAGCCCCTAAGTCAATTCATTGTGTCTTCATTGGTTATCACCATCTTCTGCTGTCTCTCCTTCTATTCCTATTTCCTCTCTAACAATTGATCTCCCTTTTATGCATTCTATTCATGTTTTCCTTGCTCCTTCTCACTCTTCTCTAAATATTCATTCCATGACTACTAGGTCCAAGTCTTCTTCTTCTACTCTTCTCTCTACTATTTCTCCTCTTGTTGAACCCACTTGTTTCTCTGGGTTTAAATACTATGTTTTGTTCATTGATGAATCTAGCAAATTTACTTGGGTTTATCCTCTTTGCTATAAAAGTGAAGTGTTTGCCAAATTTATGGAATTTAAGGTGTTTGTTGAAAATCAATTTGAGACTACTCTTGAAAATTTTCGCACTGATGGTGGTGGCGAGTACACTAGTTGTTCGTTTGAGATTTTTCTTAGAACACATGGCATCATTCATCAAATGTGTTGTCCACACACTTTTTCCTAAAATGGAGTTGCCGAGAGGAAACACAGGCATATTGTCACTACTAGCATTGCTTTGCTACGACAATTAGGTCTTCCCCTTGCTTATTGGTTTGATGTTCTTGCTATTTCTATCTTTCTTATTAATAGGTTGCCCAGTCCTAAACTTCAAAATCAAACTCCTTATGAGGTCCTGTTTCATTATTCCCCTGATTTTGCTTTTCTTAAAAGCTTTGGCTGTAGGTGTTTTCCCTGGCTTCAACCCTATGCTTCTCATAAGCTAGCCCCTAAGTCAATTCATTGTGTCTTCATTGGTTATCACCCCTCTATCAAGGGATATCATTGCCTTGATCCTATTTCTAGCAAAATTTATTTGTCTAGGCATGTCACATTTGATGAATCGACTACAACAAAACTGAGTTTTTACGGCTCCACATTAACGACATACAGTAAATGCAAACCGTTGTTTCTCACTTTTACGACTCCTTTCTTCAGACTGCTCTTGCTTTTGTTCAGCCAGCTGCTGTATCAATTAAGCCATCTGTTGTTTTCTTTCAGCCTTCTGCTCCTGCTGTTTCTGCTTTGCCGGCAGCAGTTTAGTTTGGTTGTGGCGAGCCTGTTACTAGCCAGCTTGCTGCTGCCATTGTCTTCCTTGGTTTGCCTGCCACTGCCTTGTCTCCATTTTCGGTTGTCTCTCCCTCTATTCCGATTTCCTCTCTAACTATTGATCTCCCTTTTGTGCATCCTATTCCTGTTTTCCCTGCTCCTTCTTACTCTTCTCTAAATATTCATCCCATGACTACCACGTCCAAGTCTTCTTCTTTTGCTCTTCTCTCTACTATTCCTCCTCATGTTGAACCCACTTGTTTCTCTGGGTTTAAATACTATGTTTTGTTCATTGATGAATCTAGCAAATTTACTTGGGTTTATCCTCTTTGCTATAAAAGTGAAGTGTTTGCCAAATTTATGGAATTTAAGGTGTTTGTTGAAAATCAATTTGAGACTACTCTTGAAAATTTTCGCACTGATGGTGGTGGCGAGTACACTAGTTGTTCGTTTGAGATTTTTCTTAGAACACATGGCATCATTCATCAAATGTGTTGTCCACACACTTTTTCCCAAAATGGAGTTGCCGAGAGGAAACACAGGCATATTGTCACTACTAGCATTGCTTTGCTACGACAATTAGGTCTTTCCCTTGCTTATTGGTTTGATGTTCTTGCTATTTCTGTCTTTCTTATTAATAGGTTGCCCAGTTCTAAACTTCAAAATCAAACTCCTTATGAGGTCTTGTTTCATTATTCCCCTGATTTTGCTTTTCTTAAAAGCTTTGGCTGTAGGTGTTTTCCCTGGCTTCAACCCTATGCTTCTCATAAGCTAGCCCCTAAGTCAATTCATTGTGTCTTCATTGGTTATCACCTCTCTATCAAGGGATATCGTTGCCTTGATCCTATTCTGGCAAACTTTATTTGCCTAGGCATGTCATATTTTGATGAATCACTTTTCCTTTTTTTACTCCATCTATTTCTACCTCTACACATAACTCTACCTATACTCTTCCTCAACTACACTTCTTTTTCTGGTCCTTTCTTCAGATTGCTCTTGCTTTTGTTCAGCCAGCTGCTGTATCAATTAAGCCATCTATTATTTTCTTTCAGCCTTCTGCTCCTGCTGTTTCTGCTTTGTCAGAAGCAGTTTAGTTTGGTTGTGGCGAGCCTGTTACTAGCCAGCCTGCTGCTGCCATTGTCTTCCTTGGTCTGCCTGCCACTGCCTTGTCTCCATCTTCGGTTGTCTCTCCCTCTATTCCTATTTCCTCTCTAACTATTGATCTCCCTTTTGTGCATCCTATTCCTGTTTTCCCTGCTCCTTCTTACTCTTCTCTAAATATTCATCCCATGACTACCACGTCCAAGTCTTCTTCTTTTGCTCTTCTCTCTACTATTTCTCCTCATGTTGAACCCACTTGTTTCTCTGGGTTTAAATACTATGTTTTGTTCATTGATGAATCTAGCAAATTTACTTGGGTTTATCCTCTTTGCTATAAAAGTGAAGTGTTTGCCAAATTTATGGAATTTAAGGTGTTTGTTGAAAATTAATTTGAGACTACTTTTAAAAATTTTCGCACTGATGGTGGTGGCGAGTACATTAGTTGTCTGTTTGAGATTTTTCTTAGAACACATGGCATCATTCATCAAATGTGTTGTCCACACACTCTTCCCCAAAATGGAGTTGCCGAGAGAAAACACAGGCATATTGTCACTACTACCATTGCTTTGCTACAACAATCAGGTCTTCCCCTTGCTTATTGGTTTGATGTTCTTGCTACTTCTATCTTTCTCAATAATAGGTTGCCCAGTTCTAAAGTTCAAAATCAAACTCCTTATGAGGTCATATTTTGTTATTCCCCTGATTTTGCTTTTCTTAAAAGCTTTGGCTGTTGGTGCTTTCCTTGGCTTCAACCCTATGCTTCTCATAAGCTAGCCTCTAAGTCAATTCCTTGTGTCTTCATTGGTTATCACCCCTCTATCACAGGATATCGTTGCCTTGATCCTATTCTTGGCAAAATTTATTTGTCTTGGCATGTCACATTTGATTAATCACTTTTTTCTTTTTTTACTCCATCTATTTCTAACTTTACCCCTACTCTTCCTCAACTACACTCTTTTTTCTGGTCCTCTTTTCAGATTGCTCCTGCTTCTGTTCAGCCATTTGTTGTATCAATTCAGCCATCTGTTGTTTCCTTTAAGCTTTCTGCTCCTGCTGTTTCTACTTTGTCTACAGTAGTTCAATTTGTTTGTGGCTAGCTCGCTGTTGTTCAGCCTACTGCTGCCCCTGGCCTGCCTACTGCTGCTACTGTCTTCCCTGGTCTGCTTGCCACTGCCTTGTCTCCATCTTTGGCTGTCTCTCCCTCTATTCCTATTTCCTCTCTAACTATTGATCTCCCTTTTGTGCATCATATTTATGCTTTCCCTGCTCCTTCTTACTCTTCTCTAAATATTCATCCCATGACTACCACGTCCAAGTCTTCTTCTTTTGCTCTTCTCTCTACTATTTCTCCTCATGTTGAACCCACTTGTTTCTCTGGGTTTAAATACTATGTTTTGTTCATTGATGAATCTAGCAAATTTACTTGGGTTTATCCTCTTTGCTATAAAAGTGAAGTGTTTGCCAAATTTATGGAATTTAAGGTGTTTATTGAAAATCAATTTGAGACTACTCTTGAAAATTTTCGCACTGATGGTGGTGGCGAGTACATTAGTTGTCTGTTTGAGATTTTTCTTAGATTTAATTAGTCCATTAAACAATTGGATATTTCAAATGCTTTTCTTCATGGTCTTCTTCAGGAAGACGTTTATACAGTGTAACCTCCAGGTATTGAAAGTTCTTCTTCTCCTCATCATGTGTGCAAATTGAAAAGGGCTCTCTATGGGCTTAAGCAAGCTCTTTGCGCTTGGTATTCGACTTTTTTCTCTTATCTTCTCTCCTCTAGCTTCACAAATAGTCATTGTGACTCTTTCTTGTTCATATAGAGAACTTCTACCACTGTTACTTTTCTTTTGATCTATGTGGATGATATTTTAATTACTGGGAATAGTGCTGATCATATCACTTCTCTTTTTCATCATATGCACAAAGCCTTCTCCATGAATGAATTGGGTGATATTTCCTATCTTCTTGGTATATCTATAGCTTGCATTGCCTCTAGTTTATTACTCTCTCAGCCCAAATATGCCACTAACATTCTCAACATGGCTGGTATGATAAATTGTAAACCATGTTCTTCTCCCATGGCCTCTAAATCCAATCCTCTTTCAGATACTTTGGTGACCTTTTCTCAGCTATCTCTGTATCGTAGTATTGTGGGGGCCTTACATTTTATGACTTATTCACCCAAAAAAAAAAAAATTGGTTTACTCTTCACTCCTGGCTCTTTAGATTTGCATGCTTTTTCTGATTCGGATTGGGCCAGAGATGTTCTTGATCGTAAATCAACCATTGGCTATTGTGTCTTTCTCGGCCCTAACTTGATTTTATGGTCTGCAAAGAAACAATCAACTATTTCTCGGTCCTCCACTGAAGCAGAATGCAGGGCTCTTGCTCAAGCTTCTGCTGAACTTCAATGGCTTCGCATGCTTCTACAAGAACTTTCTCTTTCTTTTGCCACTCTTAGTGTTGTAATAGTTTTTTAAATCATATGTATTGTTCATTTATTTGAGAAGAAATATAAATGATATCATGTGATTATCTTATCAAATCATTATCTTTCATATTATTTAAAAATAGTGCCTAAAAAATAAATAAAATAGATTATCGAAGTGAGAAGATGGTCTAATCAATCCCACCTAGGCGACAAATTGGACTCTTAAAATAAAACAAGCTCTAGCATTGTGAATTGAAAATTTCAATAAACAAAATATTATTTTTAACCACAATATATAATCATCAGTAAATATTCTTCATAGAATTTAATTAGAATCTTTCAAATATCAAAATAATTCCATTCACCTTGTTCGAAACCATTTATAAAATATTTGGCAGCCTAACTAATTGATAATAAAATAAAATAAATATTAAAAATAAAACAAATCAATTTTTTTTTATATTTTCTAATGTTACATCTTTTGCTTCCCCCTTCTTTGAGTCCTTGTATCACTAGAAGTGGATACACTCCACTTTTGCACTTTGTCATCACCAAAGCCAAGTTCACTTTTATCAAACCCCATCTATTACGTACCTATGTGTAGCTTAACTTTTTCGCACCCCCTTTCGGAAGTTTGAAACAAGCCCTACAGTTCAGACTCCCGTGGTTCTGGATCTGATTCCACAAGTGCAATGCGAAATAGATAATCACCAAAGAGTCTAAATTTGGCAAATCTTTTGAAAAATTGATTTTGAATCAAATTGCCAAAAATGGACTGCTTTGCCAGATACAGAGTCGCCACCTAAATATTTTATTTTGTGAAAATTTAGGAAACCCATGACTCGTGCCAAAGGCCATGTGTCGGTCATCACCAAGATTGTCTCGGCTCGAAAACTTGGGTACGAGAGGGGAAGGTCATAAATTGAGCACCCCCGCTCGCCCGATCAAAGATCGGCCTCTACTAATTATGATATGATTCTTATCAACATTATATGCTCTTGTTCCGATTTGTTAGGCTAGCATTTACTATGTAATGTGCACACACAAGTATAGACTAAATTGCAAGAATTGGAACATCTCAAGTCATGTTTGCATTGAAAATTGTTTCGAAATATGTACCACTTGAAAAAGTGATTGCAAATGAACATTACTCAAATCATTCCAATCCAAGCAATAAGCCTTCATCCACAGGCATACAAGCAGTTTAGCACTTAAGCAATTTGCCCCATAGCAAGCATGCTAGATATGACAACAATTACACACATGCGATTATGCGAAAGCAAATAAAAGCTTACCTAGTACTCCAAGCCAAAACAAAGAAAAGAATTAGAAAAAACGCATGATTCCTAACTATGCAATATGACTAATGCAACACATGCAATATGCGATTAATAAGCTCGACTAATAAGCATGGTACATGAATCAATGAAATAGCAAGCGGTCTAAGCACGTATTCAAAGAAGTATTAAACTAACAATGCAGTTAGAATGATGAATCGAGCCCTGATGCATGCAATACGGATGGATGCAAACACGAAGTATGCTAAACGAAACATGATGTCCCTAAACTAACCATCATAAGCTAGTAAATAAAAAGGAGAAAGACGTGGGGTTGGAAGACATACATGTTATTACATTTCGCTCTCATGAAAGAGAGTCCGAATGAATAAACTAACTAACTAGCTAAGCTAACTAATTAAGCTAAGCTAGGCTAATTAAAGGTAATCTAATTAGGCTATTACAAATCGAAATGAATAAACTAGCTAGGCCACTTAACTAATTATTACAACAAATGAATTAACTATTCTAGTTAACTAATTAATTACAAAACGAAATTGAATAACTGATTTAACTAACTAACTAGTTACAACACTTATCAAAATTTACTAGCTAGAAAATTAACTAGCTACAACTAATTAATTACAACAAATATTTAATATAAATATTTAAACTTTAAATAAACTCGAAATGCGAGGGATGATCATGCACGTGCTCGGTTTCCACCCAAAAAGACCACCGTTTTGCTGCTGGAATGCATTTGTTGCACAATAGAACACTGACACTGCTGCCCACTTCGAGAACAACTCTGCTTGGCCAAAAGAACACTCTGCTGAAATTTGCATTAGTGGCCGGCCGGCCACTGTTGCCCAGTTCTCCTTGCTGCAACAGAGGACAAACAGAGCATATACAGGGTATTTCAAGGGTTTGGTTGCACAACTCACCCCTCCTTTTCATGAGCAAATCAAAGGATTGGTGAGTTTAAGCCACAAACCACCAACTCAAGCAATTTCATTGCCTGATGGCTTGTGATTTAAAATGTGCAATCTCAATGAATGGAACAAAATAAGACTCATACCTCCTCCCTTTTATGAATTGATCAAGGGAAGTCGTGACCTCGGAAACTTAAACCATTTCATCACTAATGAGTATGAAATGCTTCAAGCTTCCATGTGTTCAATTAACGTCCGATTGAACACAACCAAATACTTATCTTGCACCATTTTAGTCCCATTTTAATACTTCATTTTAGATTACCATCCATTCTTTAGTAAATTGAGTCCAAAGGGTGAATTTAAGTCCTCTAATGGAGTGAAATACCAAACCAAGAGTTAACTTAAGACATGAAAGAGATGTCCTGCCGTTGATAATGAACCCCTAAAAGGGATTAAACCATTAAGCATGACAACCTTAATCTTATGCTTAAAAGAACAAGAGGCTTGAAACAACTCTCAAAGAAAAGCAAAATGCTAAGAAAGAAGGGAGGTTGCAGAGATTATTAGTGCTGAAAATAAGTGAGAAAAGCATAAATAAATGCTATCAACTCAAATAAGATGGTGTCTAAGGCCTAAAACACTAAGCTCATGAGGACAATTACACTACAAGCATGCAAAAAACATGCTAGAATTGAGCTAAAAAAGTCTAGATTAATAAGCTAAAACATAGCACAAGCTAGGCTAGTAAGCAAGACACAAGGAGGGGAGGTTAACCCCTCTAATTTTGGACTTCAAAAAGTGTTTTTAACCACTGAAATAACTCTGAAATTCAATATTTAAAAGCTAAAAAAAAGATGACAACAAGGTGGGAAACACAAGGGCAAAGGCCTTGGAAACACAAGGGCAAAGGCCTTGGAAACTAGGTAGAAGGAATGGTGAGCCACCCCTCCACCCTTATTGGCCTTAAACCACAAGTTTTAGCCCAAAATTTCAGAGTTTAGACCGTCCAAAAATAGTAGAAAAATGTGCTGGAATGAAGACAAATATAGCTAAAATAATAAGCTCAAACATGGAGTAATTTAAGCAAGTAAACAAGCCAAAGGAGGGGTGGCTAACCCCTCCATTTTTGGGACTTCAAAACCACTTTTTTAGCTTCTGAAAATCAGTGGTAAAAAGCTCAAAAAAAGTTGAGAAAAGAATGGGAAACACAAAGGCAAAAGCTTAGAGAATAAGGTTCAAGGAAGGGTGGTTAACCCCTCCACCTTTGGTAGCTTTAAACCACAAGTTTTAGCCCATAAAAATAGGTTTTAAATAGCTCAAAAAATAGTAGAAAAGATGGAAAACAAGTGGTGTAAAGATGGTATAAAAGCAAGAGAAGGTATACCTCTTGAAGAGGAATGAACCCTTAAGTCATAAACCACCAATTTCACACTCTCAAGTGCTTCAAGAGCTCAAATTCAAGCTCAAATTATCTCATCAAGAAGTTCTCTAGGTTTGGTTTAGAGTGTTTGGGCATAGGCTATGCAAGTTGCAAGAGAGAGAGAGAGGATATTTTTCAAAATTATTTCCTCATTCCTAAATGTTTCTAACCTTGAAAGCAAAAAGAGACGTCCTCTATATATAAAAAACATGAGCCTTAGGTCGAAAATATCTAAAAAGGAACAGCTAGAACTTTGTGGAAATAGTTGGAGAAAATATCTGGGTTTTACACTAGTGGCCGGCACATGGCCGGCTGGCCAGAAGTGTGCATTGCTGGCCATCAATGGTGGCTGGCCGGCCATCTACCGGCCACCTGCCGGCCATCAAAAATCTGCTTCTAGGCCCGACTTCAAATGGACATATCTCCTTCATCCGGACTCCTTTTCAGGTCATTCTTGAGTCTAAATTGAAGCCACAGAAGTCTAGTTTCCAATGGTGACAGCCTCACATCTAAGTGTCCAAAGAGATATGCCTATTTTAGTAACGGTTGCTCAGTTTTGGTCTTAATCGAATTGATGCCTAACTTCAAACAGCCATATCTTCCTCATTCGAACTCGGTTTTAGGAGATTCTTGAGTCTAAAATGAAGCCCCGGAAATCCACTTTCCAATGGTGGTGGCCTCACAACTAAATTCTAAGTGTACAAAAGGATAGGCCTGATTTAGTGAGGCTACCTAGTTCTCTCTTAACGGGTTCAAGCCCAACTTCTTCCCCGACTAGTTTTCTTCGCTCTCCTCTAATTTTCTTTAACTCCAAACCTATAAATAAGAGGTTTAAAAATATTTTTCAAAGAGTTCACCGCTCTTCCATTTATTTCCACTTTGTCCTTACTTAGTTTACCGAAAAGTGCAATTTTTAATGAAATGCGAGTCTCGGAACATCGTAGAAACATTTTGAAAAATATTTTGAAAGAGAGGGTTTTAAGGCCTAAAAGTTTCGGTCCAAAATCGTTTTGATCCAAAATGGGGTGTAAGGTTGGGATTTAGAAACTTTTCTTACTGAACAAATCAAATGCTTGCAAAACATAACTTCCATCATCAAGTGATCAATCAACGGCGCCCAAGTCTTAAGGGCAGTCAAAAATGGGGTGTTTACACTATGATATTTTTCAAAGTCTTTGATCTTTTTTTCTAAAGACCAATGGTAGCTTTAGCATGCTTGAGCTCTTCTGCAACCTTGATGACTTGCTTATCCAATTGAATTTGAGACATCTCAAGAGATTTAGGGTTGATTTAGCAATCACCTAATATACCTAAAAAGTTAAATAGTCAACTCATCTCTCTACTATTTTACATGTTTTTTAGTAAAAGCTAAAAGCTAACTAAAATAGTTAGTTCCCAAAAGCTAGCTAAAAGCTAA